ACCACATGCACACGGTAGCTTTCAAATCTATAGATTTAAGCTCGCTCTCTTTATCCACCATTTGCATTCAAAGTGGTTTCCAGGTGGCTCCTTTTTTGTATCACACCTTCATCTTCAGTTTAGCAGGTTGACCTCAATCATCCTAATCCTTTGAACCCATTGTTACTTCCCAGTTTCTCATTACCTTGAATGGTACTTTCACCTACTTAATGTGGTTCAAATGTAAGAGGTGATCTTACTTCATCAGTTTCATTGCTCTTTACTACCCTTTACTCAGGTAGAAGATTATCCTTCTAATTCTTGTCTTGATATAACATCACCTATGAGTCGATTCCGACTCATAGCAACCCTATTCCAGCTCATAGCGACCCTGTAGGACAGAGTAGAACTGCCCCGTATAGTTTCCAAGGAGCGCCTGGTGGATTCGAACTGCCGACCCTTTGGTTAGCAGATGTAGCTCTTAACTGTCGCATCCCTGCTTAAACCCATCTGAGTGCTTCCTGTCATCCCCAGAGTCAAATCCATACTTCTTGCCACATCCCGTAAGGTTTTATATAATTATCTTGTTCCTGCTTGTCTATCTTTTTTTTTTTTCCTATCACACTGGCTTCCCACAAGCCAAGCTTATTGCTGCCTCAGAACCTTTGGACTTGCTGATGATTCTACCTCGAATGGTCTTTCCTCAGATCTATGTGTATCTGTCTGTCTTTAGGCCTCAGCTTAAGCAGCTTCCCCACCCACACCAGTCACTCGCTATCACATTACACTGTTTTAATATTTTTAAAAATGTAAAATAAATGCCACAGACATACGATCTAAAAGACTATTCTTTATTCTGACTTTATTCCTTCCAATGTTTTTGTTAATGTCCTTTCTTTTAAGAAATGATAGTTCTAATATGTAGTAGTGTGTTATGACTGTGAGTCAATACAGAACCTTTTACTTTGTTTCTAAAACTGTTATGGCTTTACAAAAGCCCAAACTCTTCTAAACCACCCTGGGTAGACATTTCATTTTTGTTCGAGGTCCCTCATTTCTTAGTCATTTTTCCCACCTTTAGTCATTTCCTCAGTTCAGTACACACACCTAAGAAATTTTTTTTTCAAGTAGTATTTTGACACTGCCATTCTCTTATTCAAAAACAGAAGTGGCTTCCCCCTTAGAGCACATTCTTATCTCTGAGCAAGGAATATAGAAGCAACAGCTCTCCAGTTCCTGCAACCCACCAATATTGTTGTTAGGTGCCATCGCGTTGGTTTCGACTCATAGCGATCCTATGTACGACAGAATGAAACCCTGCCTGGTCCTGCACCATCTTCATGATCATTGTTATGCTTGACCCCATTGTTGCAGCCACTGTGTCAATCAATCTCGTTGAAGGTCTTCCTCTTTTACACCGTACCAAGCATAATATCCTTCTCCAGGAACTGATCCCTCCTGATAACATGTCTAAAGTATGTGAGACAAAGTCTCCCCATCCTCGCTTCTAAGGAGCATTCTGGCTGTACTTCTTCCAAGGCAGATTTGTTCGTTCTTTTGGCAATCCATGGCATATTCAATATTCTTCACCAACACCATAATTCAAAGGCGTCAATTCTTCTTTGGTCTTCCTTATTCATTGTCCGGCTTTCGCACGCATACAAAGGCAATTGAAAATACCAACATAAATGTCCTAACTCCCCTCACGAAAACACTGTGTTGACATCCTTGTGTGGCTTATTTATACCTGCTTCTGTGGCTTTCCTTGCGATGTAGAAGTGCTTTTCTAATTATGTCTCTCTTCGCTTTCAGAAGTCTTTTGAATATGAATATTCCATTACTTATCTCATTACGGTGAATGTGTGATATATGAATACTGTAGATGTATGTATGTTATATATGCTTAGTATGTTAACTTGTGTTTCTAGAAGATGGGGGCTTTCAATTCTTGCAAAATGACATTGTGAACCTTTTGAGAGCATAATTGTGACTTCTCTTTAATGTGTCTCTGTACATGTGGTGGTGGTGGTAGATAATTTTATAAATTAACTATTTTCCAGGCATTGTGTTAGGCTGTTTACAAAACATTATCTCATTTAATCCTGACCAGTCAATGAAATAACTATTTTTATCCCCATTTTCCATCCTAGAAAATTGCTTAGGGAAATTGCCCAAGGTTATAGAAAAGCAAGTAAGAAACCTCTAGAGTTGAGATTTGAACCTAGACAGTCTGACACAAGAACCTACATTCTGAAATGACTATTTGACCCCATACATTCTTAGTAAGCCTGACTGATTACACAGTGTTCCCAGAGAGAAATATACAATCCTGCTCTTTACTTTCAATAGATTGAGAGCCAGTAAGTGTTGTGTAGTACAAAATATAAAATAACAACTTCTCATGTTGGTCAAAATCTAATTTAACTTTTCTTTAAGCTAACAAACCAAGAATTTATTAGAAACTTAGAAAATGTTGATGCATTTAATTTTTATTTACTTACTTAATCCACTAAAAAGAAGCGGGCCTTCAACCCGGTTCACTCTCATGATGGTAAATGAAGAGGTGAACTCTGAATGGAAAAAGAGAAAGCTTACTCAAGTCAGTTACAGAACTTTTGAGACAATGGGGTTTTTATAGGACTTAGTATTAGGAAAGGAATAGGAAAATACAATACACATGTCTATGAGGTAGGTAGCACATAATTTAATTTTTGACTGTTGGCAGTCATAAAATTCAGAATGAGTCATCATTTTTTATTTAAATTATTACTAAAAAAATAATAAAACAGAAACACTGGTGATCGCTAATTGGTTGATATTGGAATAAGTATTCTTTAATATTGACTACCTCTCTCTTCAGAATGTTTAATCCAAAAAGCAGAGAATGGGTTTTTCTCGTTGTTTGATCTAAGGGGCTAGTATTTGGTGCTTTATTAAGAAATAACTTGTATAGAGTACTGAGGAAGGAAGGATGTAAGAAAAGTGCCCCCTTTTGCTGTATATGGCCAGGTTGGGCGTGCAACTGGTATTAGCATGGTAAAATTAAAAATGAAACAAACAAACAAAAACCAAAAACATGATTCCACCATTCAACCAAATGCATTTGTAGTTAACAGATATTTCACAATTTAAAATTCTTCGGTTAGCACTTTTCTATTGTTCAGTAAATAGTGAATTTATACTTGTTGGTATTCATAATAGACCTCTCTGAACATAATTAATTCCCCTTTGGCAAATACTATATTCTGTAGTTGAGTTAACCATTCTGGGCTGCAGAGCCTCAGGGATTACACCTGAATTTCATTAAGGAAGTTTAAGTAATATACGAAGGAATCTTAACATTTGCAGTTGCCTTAGACTGGTTAAGACAAGATGAGATGCAGTTTTTTTTTTTTTTTCCAAAAACTTTCTAGAACCACAGCTTTATTGCTTTTTTTTTTTTTTTTTTTGTGGGCAAGATACTTGGTCATATTTACTTTCAACATGGTCGTACCCTTTATGAATACTGGATGGCACGTTTTCTTTTTACAGTCTTGCCTGCTCCCAGTTTAGAGTGCTACAAGCCAAAGACACTCAAGTGAATTTTTTAAAACACCGCAAAACCACTCACTTGAAATGAATAGTAAGGGAGGAATAATAGCAAAATACACTTGAGTTAGTTACAAGTGAAGCTATCTCATATACCCAGAAAGAAAATCTTAAACTTAGTGTCATTTCTGTGCCCACCATAGCTATAGTTTGTATGGTTCATAATCTTAAGAAGAGACCTTTGTATCCGGTGGTAAGAAACATCTGTCACTAGGGACTGTAGAAGAAAGTTCTTTATGGTAACCTCTGGCAACTCTATTCATTTGTGTGTAACAACTCTCAAATGCCCAAGGCCTTTCACTTAATATGGCTTATTCATTGCAGTCTCTCCTTGTTTTTCTTTAGGAACAGATTCTATTCCAAAAATAATTGTCTAATGGCTGAGGCAACATTTATGGTGATTGTAGGCCTTTGCACTACTTATATCTCTTACAGTCCCACTTAGTCCCTGTAAGTAAATCAGGAAGTTTATTCCTTAGGACCTTGAGAAAATCCTCCTCCCCAGCACTTAGACTCGAAAGTATAAAGTAAAAGATATAATTTTTCTATGTAACAGATAATTTATAAGATATGCTTTGATTTTTAGTACATGCTGATTGTGACATTTCTCATTTATTCACTCAAATATTTATTGAGCGCTTACTATGCTCCAGGCAAAGTTGGAACAAGTTAGTGAATCTAAAAATTCATCATTAATTCCCTGAATAATAAAAACTAAAAGGAAAGTATTTACTATACTATATAAAATTATTTACTTCTCTGATACATGGCTATAACCCTCGTACTGTAAACTTGTTTGTTTGGGTTTTTGTTTGTTTCTTGAAATTATCCAGTCAAGCTCTCTTGGTTGAGGCTGCTTCTTGGTTGAGGCTGAGCTATCATAGGAAGATGTATTTCTAATATTTCTGCCAAAGAGGATGTTAAGAAATATTAAGAACTACAGTTAGAAAAGTTCTATAAATATTTCTAAGGAAAGGCGCCAAGAAGATTCACACTACCCTGGTTTTTATGGCAAGTAAAATATTCCCAGAAATTAATTACTCTTAAAAGTAAAATAAAACCTCAGTAGCTTAAAATATTCAAAATCCTTTCCTTGTCAAGAATAGTTTTCTCATTGATGTGATCAGATTTTGTAATTTAAAAAAAAAAAACTGTCAGAGTGTAGGATCTTTCCTGCTAAAATATGGAAAAGAGTAATTGTCACTCTGCACTGATTTTATTCAAAATGAACCATGTATCTTTTGGCACATGGAACTTTCCAATTTTTAAATCCTTGTTCATGAAAATGTCATCATGACATATTGGAAATTTGCCTCAGGTTCTGTATCAATTTAACATCTTATGTTCAAGGTTCCAATTAATTTTAAGAAATTGAATTAAATTATCTGTTTTGTTACAGAATCTCCTTCTTCATGAGCCATGATATTAGGTTTGCTGTTCTTGGCGTGGGGTGTGCTTTCAATACATGACTGTAGGTTGCTTTTTTCCCCACTTTTGTCTTCCCATAATCATATGTGTGTATTCAGTTAGGAAATACAAGAAAACTCAGTTGAGAGTAAATTTACGTTTTCAGTTGCTATCCATGCTTTCCATTTGCTTTACAAAGAAAGGATTGTTTTATGCAAGTATCACTTCCATTTAGTGGCAGGAAAGTGCTATCATGTTTTTCTGTAGGTATCAAATCAGCCTGGAATTTAGCTCTTTTTTCCTCTTTGTTGGTTTTAGATAGAGAAATAGAAAGGTTATTTTTTTAAAATATATATGTATGACATACACATACATACATAAACTATCATTTTTCATCACTTTATGTTGAACCCTTCATGAAACGTTTGTTCATTTGTCAACTTATTTATCAAATGGATGTAAAAATAGTTTTCTCCCTTAAGTGGTCTTTCAAAAGTCTCTGGATTTAATATGTGATACTTTAGTCTCTAAGTATTTATATTAGCTGTAAACCAAAAACCAAACTCACTGCCATCAATTCGATTCCGACTCATAGCAACCCTGAAGGACAGAGCAGAACTGCCCCATAGGGTTTCCAAGGCTTTAAACCTTTATGAAAGCAGACTGCCATATCTTTCCTCTGCAGAGCTGCTGGCGGGTTTGAACCACCGACCTTTTGGTTAGCAGCAGAACGCTTTCACCACTGCATCACCAAGGCTCCTTATATTAGCTATAAACCAAAAAACACCAAACCCATTGCCATCAAGTCAATTCCGACTCATAGCGACCCTGTAGGACAGAGTAGAACTGCCCCATCGAGTTTCTAAGGAGCACCTGGTGGATTTGAACTGCCTACCTTTTGGTTAGCAGCCGTAGCACTTAACCACTACGCCACCAGGGTTTCCTATATTAGCTATAGATGTACATATTTGTGTGTGTGTGTGTATGTGTATTATTTCAGTTTTCTTTATCCAGATTATTGAGTAATAGTGTTACTGTTAACTCTTGTAGTTAATTACAGAGTAACCATATGTTGTACAGATATGGGAAAATAGGGTTACATGTTTTGATGAGTATAAATAAATTCTCCTTGAATATTTTGAAAAATAACTCTTATGGCTTGGTTTTGAATCACCGTTATGCACATTATTATATTCTTGGAGACATAAAGGTGATATGAATTGAGTTAATGCCATACCGATCCTAAAATGACAAGCAAAATTATATCATTTTAATTTTAAAAACTTGTCACTATGAGTCAGAATCGACTTGATGGCAATGGGTGTGGTTTGATTTGGTTTTATAACATCAAATTGAAAGAACTAAAATGTTCTGGATAAATGCAACTTTCTAGTACACGTTAATCACTTATTAGTTTATCTTCATATACCTACAAAGGTGTCATGACCTTCATATAGCTTGATATTACACATTTGCCGTTGATTTTTTTTTTTAAATCTTTTATTTTGAAATAATTATAGATTGACAAGAAGTTGCAAAGATAGTATAGAGAGGCCCATGTACCTTTCACCCAGTTTCTCCCAGTGGTTACATTTCACAATAGGAGCCCTGGTGACGTAATGGTTAAGAGCTTGTCTGCTATCCAAAAGGTCGGCAGTCGAATCCACCTCCCACAACTTGCAAACCCTATGGGGCAGTTCTACTCTGTCCTATAGGGTCACTATAAGCCAAAATTGAATTGATAGCAGCAAGTTTGTTTTTTTGTTTTTTATAGTATAACATCGAAACCAGGAAATTGACATTGGTGTAATATGTGTATATAGTTCTGTGTCATTTTATCATATATGTAGATTTATGTAAGCACCATGACAATCAAGATACAGAGCTATTCCATAACCACAAATATCTCCCTTGTGCTATCCCTTTATGGTTACCTCCAATCCCCTACCATCCCTAACCCCTAGCAAGCAGGAGTTTGTCTTCATCTCTTTAATTTTGCTATTCTGAGAATGTCATATAATGGAATCATTAATATCTTAGGGCTTAAATCTGCCATTTTATTTTTTGTTTTCTGTTTGATCCCTCTGTTCATGTTTCCCTGTCTCATTTTTCCAGCCTACCTGTGTTGCTTGAACCCTGTGTAGGATTCCATTTTTATTTATCTATATTTTTTGATATATCTGTTTGTATAGGCTTTTTAATAGTTTCTCCAGGTATTATATTATACATCCGTAACCTATCTGATCTACTGGTGTCAACATTTTACTAATTTGAGTTAAATGTACAAACTTTGCCTCCTTTTACATCCATTTTCCCTATTCATTTATAATACAGTGGTCTTCAATATTTTATTTTTTTCACTCTAGTTTCTTTCTGTTGTTCAGATTGGTTAATTTCTATTGTTCTGTCTTCAAGTTCACTGATTCTTTCCTCTGTTCTCTTCATTCTGCTGTTGAGTCTATCTGCTAAAGCTTTTATTTCGATTATTATATTTTTCAGTTCTAGAATTTCCATTTGGTTCTTCTTTATATCTTCAATTTTTTGCTGAGACTTTCTATTTTTTTATTTGGTTCAAGCATGTTTGTAATTGTTCAGTAAAGCATTTTTATAATGGCTGCTTTAAAATCTTTGCCAGATAATTCTAACATCTGTGTCTTCTTTCTCTTAGTGTCTGTTGATTGTCTTTTCTCATTCAAGTTGACATTTTCTTGGTTTTTGGTATGACAGATGATTTTGAGTTGAACTGTAGACATTTTGGGCATTATTTTATGAGATGCTGGATCTTACTTAAATCTTCTGTTTTAGCAGACCACCTCTAATACTGCTCTGCCCTGTTACTGCCAAATGGGATTGGAGGTTCAGATTACTCACTAGTCTTTCATCAGGGTTGAGGTGAGGGCTCATTACTGTGGGGAGTAAGAGTTCAGGCTCCACACTAGACCTGCTGATACTTGGGTTGCTTCCTTACTGCTTCTCATGTGGCCTACTACTAGGTGGTGGTGAAAGACCTGACTCCACTAGGGCTCTTCTGACAGGACTCCTGCAGGGAGGGAGAGGAGAGGAGCACTTCCTTAACCTCCAGGTAGAAGGACTGAAGTCCAGGTTCCCCAAGTAGTCTCTACTGGCGTCATGGGAAGGGGGATCACCATTGATTTTTAAAGGCCCATTTTAGTTTTTTAGATAGATGAGTCTTTCTTTTATAAGTAACTGATATTTCCTATGCTTGCTTTGGAATTCTTTTGGTTATATTTCTTTTAGATCTGAATATCAGTATATATTTAGTTTTTGTCAGACTAGTTTAACAAAGCTCAAAGCTTACATTTTTGACTGGTGTAGCATCACATTTGAGAACTGCTAATTTGCTTTTCAAATGTGAGAAGAAGAGAATAATTGCAAAGTGTGTTACAGATGAGAGTTTAATGCTTTCCTAGGTAATTTTGTGAAATACAGTGAAGTTATAAGTCTTTTTTTTTTAACAGAGGTGCTTAGATAGTTCTTAAATTCTTACTTGATTCTTCAATTTATACCAACACAATGAGAAATATTGCTTTTTGTTCTAGATTTTTGACAAAATTAAGTGTATATGTTTGTATAGGATTGTGTTGGCATGAGCAGTGTATGTAATATGTACATCCATTTTTCAGATTTAGGATAGTTTATTATCTTTATAGAATTACGTATACATGGAAGATCTAAATTTGAAATTTGAGGATTTGTAAATACATTCAGAGATTTAGGCAATTCAGTGATTTTATGGCCCCAATATACTCAACTATTGTTCAACATGATATTAATTGAAAGCCTATTAAGAAATCCTTCCAACAAATGGTAGATTTATAGGTTCAGGCCTCTGGAGATTTACAAGCAGTACTTTTAGTTGGTATGAAGATTCTCAGGTCATTTGCTAAGATAAAGCTTTGAAAAATAATAAAGCATAGCCTCTTAAAAATGAGAAATACCAGGGAATTACTTTAGCTCTATCTCTAAGCAAATGTGAACGACTTAAATGATACTTAGTTTACTTACTTTTGACATGTATGGAAGGAGTCATAAATAAAACCACTCCACTGTTAGATGACAAACTTATGTACTTCTCAACTGGATTAAGGGCATTATAGCTTAAAATTAAAAATAATATTTATGCTGTTAGGTGAGTTTCAGAAAGGGTTTCTCACTTTACAATTATAAATTCACCAATTTTATAAATTAATTTGATATACACAGTTTTTTCATTAAATTTAGTAATGAAAGTGCCAGAAACATTTAATTGACCAAAACCTGTTAAAGAATAAAGAACGCAATGGTGCCACATTAATAAAGAATCTGATCCCTTTCCTTAATGTAGCCCACCTTCATTATCTTAGAATTGTGCAAATCATACCAAATATAACAAGGGGAACTAGAACAGATTGATCACTTTGGGTGTTTTGTTCTGTTTTTTAAAGAAAAGGGAGAAACTTTCTTACTTATGTTTGTTGCTTCTCTTCAACAATTTAGGGCCAGACTTTACGGTTTGTTTAGCTGTGAAGGGATGACAGACTTGGGGGATGGTGAGGGGAGCTTAGTTTTGGAATGTAAATACATGTAGAGCTTGCCTCCTTTTGTTTAGCATCTCTTTAAACTAAGACAAAAAAAATCAGTGAATGAATGAATAGCAGCATGGTGAAATACCTAAATGTTTGAGTTAAAATTTTTGGATGTTTGAAATCCTATTTGGATCCTTTTCCCAGATCGCAGTGCATTCATACGCACTCAGCAGGAAACTTCATGGAGATGCACATTTGGGCAGAAGGTCTTTGACGGTGCCTTTTTCTTAACTTGTGCCTTTTCTTCTTTTGAAAAAAGTAATGGCTTAAGTCTGACTGAAGAACAATCTTTTTTGTATGTTCCTTATAAGAATTTACTTATGGTTCACAGATCTTTACCCACCATCTATGTCTGCAATCCTTAGATTTAAAATAGCATATATCCTACTGCAGACTACAGGAAACGCCAAATTAAAGACTTAATGACATACTGCTGAAAAAAACAAAAGGGGACAAATTATAAATCAGTCCACTAAACCTCCAAAGTGAAACTCACAGGAAAAAAAATGTACATTTGAGCCATTTTAATAAAAAGTCTTAGTATTTTGGTACTCATGCAACAGGTAAACTTAAGGGTACAGTAGGACTTGACTCTAGATATTTAAAAAAAAAAAAGGACATCAAAAATGTATTTCTTCATGAGACAGCAAGCCTACTTAATATGTGAATATTTCAGCACTTCTAAATTCTGTTTTTAAAATATTTGCCTCTTTTCCTAATTTTAAAATTACTTTGAGAATCATGATCATTTATGGTATCAGTCTGTCTAGATAACGTGGTGGTTTATTAATTTTCCTCCTCAGGTTTACCTTAGCCATACTCAAGTCCATTCCAATTTTCTTGACTTGTAAGGAAGTAAGTAAGAGTGTCTTTTGTCTATTGCTTAAGTTCTGGGGAAGGGAGCAAGAACAAGAGGCTCTGGGGGTTAATGGAAGGGTTAGAGAACAGATGGAATGGGAAGGAAAAGGAGGCCCTTTAAAAAACTAGTTTTCAAAAGACCGCAGTTACTGCTTCTGGCTCATTTTTCCAGCCTTCCCTTTGGGAGGGTTTCTTTTACAAAGGCCCTGATTCCCCTTAAACTCTGACAGAATGTGCTCCTTCTGGGTGGTGGGGTGGGAATGTCAACGTGGGCTGGTGACAATGCAGCTGGTAGTGAAGTTACAATAATAAGAGCAGAATGTATGCGGGCTTAACCGCCCCTGATCTTGCTGAGGAGCAAACATTTGCTCCTCGAGGTGAGGTAGCACAGTGCCTCTGCCACTCGTTAGACGGAGAGCCTGGCAGACATGTACCAAACTCAAAACAGGTCTCACTCCATTTCATTTCAGTTCATTTGAAGTTAATAAAAAAGACTGGTCAGGGTGCACAGGCTTGCATCTGAGTGAACACATACACCACATTTTGAAAAAAATATGCTAGGCCTAAGCTCTCCCTTGTGCTCAAGGATGTGATTTTAAGGTCAAATATATTGGTGAAAATTCCACGCACATTACGATCCTGATTGTTGTTTCAATGTTTCAGTTCCAAGAGAGAGCTAGAAGCAGCACAGGGCAGAAGAGACAGAGACAGCTCAAATCAAATGCCAAAACTTTAGGCAAAAGAAGACAATTTATCAGGATCAGAGTGCTGGCAAGTTTACTTTCTTTACTGTTCTCTTCACTTTTCCTTGGTCTACAGTCATTTGGGGGTTGGTTCTTCCAAACATAAAATTGAACTCTTTATTCTAAGGAATTGGCTTTAAAAATGGGGGTTGGGGGGAATAAGTGGCAGTAAGTGAAAAACTTTGTGGGATATATTTTGAGAAGATACTTAAAAAGAAGGCATTTGACCTGCCATAAAAGTAAGGGGAAAATTTTCTATCTGCCAAGCATAACTTGATGAGGTTAACATAGAAAATACTGAGATGGAAAAATGAGATTGCAGTTGAGTGAGGTCTGTAGTGTGCTGTGGTAAACCTCTCAGCAAGCAGCAATAAGTGAATGAGGCTTGAGGAAGGACATAGAGCCCTGGTTTTATTGTGTTTGTGGCTCTTTTATAGTTTAATTAATTGATATGTAAGTGTGGGGGAAGGGTGGCTGTTAAAGGCAAGGTGGCAGGACTACCGCATAATATGCTGGGTTCTGTTGCAAATGAAAATATGAAGCCCTTGTTCAAAAAATACAAATTTCAAGACAGCAACAGCAAAGCATTGAATCAGTACTGAATCACAAGTGATTAAGACTTAGGGCCTTTCTGAGTCTGGGGCTCAAGCAACTGCACCCGTGAAGTCAGCCTTGCTAGGTGGTCATGTCCCTTCCCCACATACACTGTATACTTACTATTAGCTCTGTCTCCCAGGAATTTTGTGAAAGTTAGTTGACAGAGAATGACAAATACTTGAAAGAGACTCAAGGAAAGCTAAGACATCTCTCTGTCTCTCTCTCTTTCTCTCTCTCACACGTACCAAGGTGTTTTCTAATACACATAATTCTCTAAATTAGTAAAATAAAGATTTTGGTCGGAATCGAGGGAAAACTAAATGTCTTGTGACCATCTGAAATTATTACGTTGTCCACTGTAAAGTTATTAATGTAACATTGCTGAAAAACCTCCCAGCTCTAAAATTCTGTGATTCCAGTATCCATAATCAAAAGAATAACTCATATATGGGTGTTAGGGAGATCTCTTAAAGGACCCCTGGTTGTGCATTGATTAAGCACTCAGCTGCTAACCAAAAGGTTGAAGGTTTGAACACACTAGGCACTCCTCCGGAGAAAGACGTGGCAGTCTGCTCCCATAAAGATTAGGGCCTAGGAAACCCTATGAGGAAGTTCTACTGTGTCCTGTAGGGTCACTGTGAGTCGGAATTGACTTAAAGGCACACAACAGAGAGATATTTAAAATACTAGTATCAGATAAAGTTTTTCAACTTAAAGTTATGGCTTGCATATTCGTAACTTGGAAAATGAAGGCAAAGTGAGTTAGCTTTATAAGCAATTTTTAGAACTAATAGAGATTTCTTAAAATTGAGTAAAAGAAAATGAAAGAAATGTTAGCGTTTATTTTTTTCAACTTGTCTTCTTATAGCCTGGGTTCAATTCAACAAGTATATAAAATCTAAGTTCTCAATCATTCAAGGCATGGCTTAATTTTTGTTGTCAGTAGTATGAAGAGTTTTCAGGACGGTGATCAAACAAGAGTTCATGAACTGATATCAAAGTGGGAGAGACTTTAGCTGGTTGTTTAGAAGCACGTAGCCCACAAAACAATAAAATACCATGATGAGGTTACAGGCAACTTATAGAATCTTCATTCTGTAAGATTTCAATATTCGCTTATCTAAAGGGGTGGCCAACATCTTTTCTTACGTATCTTTCAGAGCTATGATTTCAACTGAAGGTCTTACAAGGATATAAAAAGATATTGTAATGTGTGCATGTCATTTTAGACCCACTTATATAAATAGTATATTTTAAGAAGTGATTATGTTTATACAAAATGATATTTTGTTAATACTACTATTACTGTAAAAGCTAGAAATGCTACTTTAAGTTTACAGCATCTGGTCTGTCTTTGGCTGCTCTTTGAAGACTATCTCAAAAGCAGTTCACTAGGATTACCCCCACTGCCTTTGGTAGAATGGCTTCATTCATTCGTTCTAGTTAATTTTCTAACTAGACAAGTCTTTTTTAACTTCAGTGTCTTACCTTGTCTTAGATTAAAATGGTTCCTTAGAAACGAAATGAGCTCATGAGATTTCTCACTAAGAATCACTAGATCACGCTTCTACCCAGGAGGAATAAGACTTCCAAATGCTTACACTTTTTTTCTGTTCTTTATTTACAAAATAAATAAATCTCTTTTTCTGACAACAAAAGGAATGTGCTCATTGTAAGAAATTTGCACATTATAGAAAGAAATAGGTCATATAGAAAAGGGAAATTCTCTATAATCCCACTTCCTTGAGGTAATAATGGTGAAGTTTGGTGAAACATTTAAATTTTACGTGTTTATATCAATAAAGCAATAAGATACAGAACTCTGGAGTACTGAGTTCAGAATCGATATTTCTGCTGATTGAATACCTTACATGACAACTTCTTTGATGACCACCGGTCTTTTAAAGCTGGAGACCTGATTTTATACGGTTAACCCTGCTCACCAAGGGCTTTTTCAACCCTCTGCATAGGCATCTGTCTTGGAATTTGTCCTTTTATCACTTCTCTGTGACTTCCTAATATTAACCATAGACTTTGTTACAACTAATTTTTTGTTTACTGATTCTATAGAGTTGTGATTGGGATCAATAAAGTATATGAGATAATTCCTTCGAAGTCTAGTGTCTTCATTTGATGTCTTTTGTGTTGGAAAATCTTGGGCCTTACATAACATATTATTATTATTATTAGCAAAAAATTATTCATGACCAAGTCTGATAATATATTGAATTATCACATTGGATCCCTGGGGTCAAAGATGAGGCAATAGCTGTCAGGTATTGAGATCGATTTTCTTGTATGTTGTGTCAACTGACCTCTTAGGTATTCCAGTGGAAGAATGTAAAAATAAAATAAAAACGTTTCAGCAGTGACAGTATCAATTGGTATATTGTCTGTCTTGACAATTTTTAAGACATTGTCTTTAAAATCTTAGATCGGTAGCTCATTATTGAAACATCAGTCTTGTTTTATTTTAGAACTTATAATTGCTTTGACACTCATAAAGTGGTTGTCAGATGTAAGGTGATTATTATTATTATGCGTGGATTGTTTAGCAATTATTCAGTCTCCTCTTGAGGCTGATTTTCGTCATGATTAGTTTGTGCTTCTGGGAAGAAATGAGTTGGGAATGTATTTTTGTGCTTTTCTGGAGGGCTTTCCTTTTACTCCCGGTCTTCTAAAAGGATGCATATCACTTCAGAACAGTCAGCACCCTCCCTCTCTTTGTGGCCTTATGTTTGTCTTAATCTCCCCCCTCCCTGTCTTTTGTTTTGTTTTGTTTTTTCTCTGTAAAAGGAGAGGAAAGAGACTCTCCAGTCAGTCCTGTCCTCCCCTCCCCTGCCCTGGATGGTGGGCTGAGAAATGAGGAAGAACCTTAAATTCTGCCCTTTGTTAGGCTCTCTGATGACTAAAACTGTTGGAACATTGCTAAAATGAGTTTTGGAAACGTTCTCTGCTCTCCCTGTTTGCCATTTCCACAGATGAGTGAGGATTGGCTTTACTGCCAAACAAGGCTGATATTGAGCCTCAAATTTTGACCCATTTTTCACCAAGTTTGTCTTAATATAGAAATTGCAAGATTTAGTAGTAAAGTGATTATTGTTCTTACAGCAAACATCAACTCTATGCATGCTGAATTCCATCTCTTGGGTTGAAGACAAAGCAGTTTGTGCATGAGGCCCACATCCCTTTGGGACCAACGAGAAAGCTCGGGGCTATCTGTTTTGACCTGAAACAGTTATCCAGCAAATGCAATTACTTTCTTCAGAGTGTGGGGCATTTCAAAACTAAACAGTTTAGTAATAATGGAATAATTTAAAAAAAACAAAAACTGCAAATCTATTTTTGAAATGAATAAAACAAATGTTGGGAAACTGACAGTTTTCATGTAAAGCCGATGAGTGGTAATTTTAGGTGGATTGGTGGAGGAAAATGAGGGTGAGAAACTCTTTCACAAGTTTCTTGGTCTGAAGTTTATGTCAGTACTGCTGTCTTTTCACAAGTGATTAAATAGTTGAATGCAACTCTGTGATCAGCAATTTAACAATGATGAATTCAGAGGAAGTATGAAGGGAACTTAGACTATCAAAGATTTGTGGGAATTAAAATACATGTGTATGTATATATTATGAAGTACCTTTTGGTTTTGTTTTATGTTTCACAAATTCAGATAGAAGTTTTATTTTTAATGAAAACCTGAATGCTATTGCCAGGCTATATTAGTGAAAATGATCAGATCATCTTCAAAACATTGAAATAACTTTTACATTTCTGATGCTTGGTTCTCTTCATTAAAATAAATCGCTTCTCCAGTCAGCCACAATACTGGAATGGCAACATCAGAATATATAGTAGAGATGCAAAATTACTTCTAATTAATGATGACATTTTATTTTACTAACATAAGCTTTAGTGTTTTAATCTAGGAGAGGAAAGAAGGTTAAATATTACGAGAGAAATTCCCTGGAGCAGTTTACAAACATTTAGGGGAAAATGTGGAAAACAAAAATGAAGCATAGGGACTGGTAACAGCGTTCAATGTTTCTCTTGTTCGCATGACAAGGGAGCATTCAGAATACACCTCTGTGATTTGTCGCATCTGGTAGAAGTGCTGCAGTAGTAGCTAACGGGACAATCTCTGGCTTTAGTGAAGAAATGAGTAGACAAGACAGTGTAAAGAGAAAACCTTGGTTGGCAATCAGAGCCACATTCCCCAGCCCCTACAGCAACTTCTAGCTTTGTATGACACCAGAAACATAGAGGTCAAAAGTCTGAGAGAACTTTTGTTATGAAGGATGCGTGTTTTGTAATTTTAAAATTTCGGATGACATATCCCAGTGCTTTGGGTACACGGGTTTCAGCTATCATGCCGTCTTAATAATCTAATAGCAGCAATGCACTAGCACCTAATGGGATGGATTTTAAAATGCAATCTATACACAGATTTCACTGCCCACTTAAACAAAAGTGGATGTATTTTTTTTCCTTAGATAGCGTTTCCCACTATTCTTGTTTAGGGGCTTTCTCATCCTTCCTTTCCTCACTCTCATATGAGGGTGTTTTCAAATTTTGTATATATGCCCAGGGATCTTTTGGCATTTAAACAAGTTTCTTACCATTTAAAAAAGAAAAAAATCTGTTTCTGAGTTATAGAAGTTATTTCGCTCCTCTGCTGTATAGTATATAAACTACTTTAGCTGCAGGACAATCAAATGTAGCTGCTTTTGGAGACAGCAGAACTGAAGCAGGAGTCAGTCTCCACACTTTCCCATGACTCACTGAGGTACTTAAGGCCTTAACACTCGTGCAGAGTTTAACCCTCTCTCTCCAGAGAGTGACAGTGTTTCCATGTAATCTATACTTCCGCTTTCAAATGTTGAGAGCAGACAAAACCACCGACATCGTAAGCTGCTTTTGATTTGAAAGAAATCCTTAAGTAATAGGGAATTCTGGCTCATGTATCTCATTTTGGCTCATGTGTGTGTTTCTCAGAAGGAATGTCCATAAGGAAAATGGCAGCATTGGCTGGTCTAGTAATAGGGCAGTATTTCGCTTCTGTGCTAATAAAATTTTCTGGCTTCGCTTTTCATAGTTCTAAAGACGTGTTCTTTGTGCCTACAGCATGTAAAATGAAGAAGAGTTAGGAAAATATTATCTCTGTATTTTAAGATGAAAGAAAAACTGATGAAAATATATCAAAAAATTTACTTTTTTTTCCTTCTAAAATTAGAAAATAATAATATTTCATTTGAGGCCAGGATCAAATATCATTTTAGAAGGGATGAAAATCTAAACTGAAGTAGAGAGAAAATCTGTTGAAAGACCATTTGGGTAAGATGAATATATTCAAATCTAGAAGTCCAGTTACTTGCATTCCAGGGGTAATAAAGAAATTGGCTAGTTTTATTGAAACATATTGGTTATGCATTTTGAGGCCCCAAGAGTATTACAGAAGTGTGTAATATTGGAGAAGAGCCCATGGTCAATCAGTATTTTTAAAAGAGAAGATTATGAGATGGAGACCACAGACCTGTAGTTTAACTTCTTTCCTGGAAAAAAAAAATTTTTTTTTTTTTTTTTTAAATCAGACACTCAGAACAAAATGAAATCAAATAAAGTAAAAACAGCCCTGATTAGATAACCTAATTTTCAGAAGAGGAGTAAATTTTCATTATATTTAACTTTCAAATGGGCAATGTACTCACCTGGTACAAAATTTAAAAGGCACAAAAGGGTACATGGTGAAAAGGGTACCTATGTGCCTCCCCCTTAGACAACAATGACAGTCTCAGTCTCATTTCACGTAAGTTTAGACAGATAAATGAGAGGAAACCAATACATGTTATTCATTTTGCCTCAACAAGCTTTTGTGATTCTCTTCTGCACAACATATTAATTAAAATTGGAACAGTATGTTCTAGATCCCTGTTTTTAAAGCTGTTGGTTGCATTGTGATTAGGGAGTCGTGTAAAGACTCTCGTGGTTTTCGTGTTTAAAAAAAAAAAAAAGAAAGAAACTGAATTGAATAGAAAATACCAAATGTGTTGCAGTAAAAGTAAGCATCATTGTAAAATATTTTATTGGTTATGCATACGTATTTACACACACATGTACATGAGTACCAGGTCTCGGTATCAAAAGTATTTCTTACTGTAAATTATGGTCCAAAAAGGTTTGACATTTTGGTTCTACTTTTATACCTGGAGTCCCTGGGTAGTGCTAGACTGCTCATGAAAAGGTTCGTTATTCATACCTACCCAGAGACACCTTGGAAAATAGGCCTGGCGATCTGCTTCCGAAAGGTCACAGCCTTGAAAACACTATGGAGCAGTTCTACTCTGCACATATGAGGTTGCCATGAATTGGAGTCAACCTGACAGCAACTAACAACAATAGTTTTATTCCAATATTTTTAAAATATCTATTCAGGCACTTTTTTTTTTTTAATAATATTTTATTGTGTTTTAGGTGCAAGTTTACACAGCAAGGTAGATATTCAGGCACTTTTGAGTGCACAGTTATTTACAGATCTGTAGCCAGGGAATATATCTGTGAAATGTTACCTCAGTCATAGTCTAGAATGTGGCCAGTTGTGAAAGGGTGAACATGAGCCCTGAGACCACTGATGGCAGATTCAATAGCCTCTAGACTTAAAGGGCTTGTCAGTACTTGTGAGATGTGATCTAAAACAATTAGTGAAGTATTCTTAGAAGTGGTTAGACAAAAGATGAGGAGGCTCTGTTATATGCTCTGCCCTGAGAACTACTAGGCAGAAAACAATTGAGGGTCGTACTCCATCCTGTGAACAATTTAGCTGTCTGGATCTTTGGAACACAAACAAAAGGACAAAACAGCAAATAGTATTGGATATCAGAATGCATGAAGGGGGTGAGGTGTCGATCTTCTGCCATCCACTACTTGTGTGATATTTCCTAATTTGCTTAGCCTCACTAGCCTCAGTTTCCACATCTGTATAAAAAACAAACACACACTAGAAATAAAAACTGGAGAGAGAACACTTGAGGATTGTTGTGAAAATTAAGTAAGCAGAAAACATCAGGCTCTGACTAGCACCTTGTAGACATTCAATAAAATGTGCATTTCTTTTTTTCCTTCCGATGAATACGTTGATACAGACTTCTATTATAACCCATCCTACACACACATAACTTGCACAACTTACACACACCCACACAATCACACAGATGCACAGATACCCACATGCAGAATTTTAACCACCCAGCAATATTTATTGAATGTTCTACTTCTTGTTTTTGGATGCCTTCGAGTTGATTCCAACTCATAGCGACCCCAGTTAACAGAGTAGAACTGCCCCATAGGATTTTTTTTGCCTGTAATCTTTATGGCAGCAGATCGCCAGCTGTTTCTCCCATGGAGCTGCTGGGTGAGTTTAAACCTCCAGCCTTTAGGTGAGCAGTCAAGCGCTTCACTGTTTGCACCACCAGGACTCCTTAAAGTACTACTAAACTCTTCAAAATAATCTGTCCATAAGCGCAAATGATACTGTTACAGAGAGGCAGCGAGTGAGGTCCCTGGAGCTTTGCCACCCAGCCCACTGGGCAACTGATCTAACCTTTCTTTCTCGGTTTCCTCATCTATAACATGATAATAATAGTACAACTACCTTATAGATTTTTTGCGTATGAATTTTAAATGAATTAATGTACATGCTGAAAATGTTGCCCAACACAAGGAAAAGTTAGTTCTTCGTAACACCTAAGTGCTAAAGAGATGGCAGGGTAGACTGATCAGCTGGTTACTGAAGGAAGGCTTTCTATGAAAGCTTAAAAGTGAGGCTTGAGCAAAAGTCTGAGGTGGGGCTAAATAAAGACTAGCAGAAAAGATGCAGGAGAGATATGTGTTCACACTGTGCTGTATTTATAGATTCGTTTGATATTCCCCTTTTTGCTTGTAGATCAGGAAGTCTGTATATATTTTTTGTATATAAAGTTACTGACTGACACACTCACATTTGATTCTGACAGTTTTTTGTATTTGATTTTCATTCTTGCTTTTAATGAAATACCTTCCTCAACTTTTTTTTTTTTTTTTTTAAGGGGGTCGGGGCATAATAGAGATGTTTCTGAAGTTGTAAAGTTTAATTCCAGGCGAAAGGCAGTATATATGCTCTGACAACATTTCTGTCTCTTTAGAATAGAATACAAACATCACAGGTGAATTCTTTGGCAGCTTAAACCTGTATCCATAGCTCAGACATTGTTTAGGGAAAAACAGTTTGGTTTTGAAGAGAATTTTCAAAGTTCTCATGCAAGAACTTCAGCCCCAATTTTGGATCTTCATATATGTATTGTTTTTATAACTCCATCGTATAAAAACCCACATTGTGAGAAATTTCTGGCTAATAAATGCAACTGGCTTGACGATTTAGGGGGGTCTGGTATGTAGCTCTGGAGTTCCCAATTCTTGTGTGATTCTTGCCAGAATTTGAAGCACAGAGATACAGCTTCATCCGTAGTTACATGCAGTTATTCCATTCTCACTGTCATGTTTAGATGAGACTTCAGTTAAGAATACCACATTTCCTGACCTCCTTTCCCTACTGTGGTGCTCTGTATTTGTAACTTCCAAAATGGGCTAGTTCATAAACTGCATTCTGAGTTACCTTTGGAGCCCATGTGCCCATTCAGAATATGTTTTAAAATCCTTACTTGCTTTCAGAAAGCTTCAGGTGCAAATCCAGAATGTTTACAGATTTAGTCTCTAAAGTGTCATTCCAAGAGCAGGACATTTTCCATTGACCAAACCAGTTGACGTTGAGTCAGCCTCAACTCATGGCCATCCCATGTGTGTCAGAGTAGAACTGTGCTCCATAGTGGCTGATTTTTCCAAAGTAGATTGCTAGGTCTTTTTCCTAAGGCACTTCTGGGTGAATTCAAACCTCCAACCTTTCAGTTAGTAGTTGAGCGCATTAACCATTTACACCACGCAGGGGCTCCCTTTCCATTGACTACTTAGTGCCAACCCTTTTGTCCAATTTACATTAAACCCAGAAAATTATTGACTGTGGAGGCCTGATTTAAGGCCTAGCTTCGGACTTTCTTTAAAGCAGTAGCTGACTAGTTGTTATGGATTGAATTGTGTCCCCCAAAAATGTGTGTCAACTCTGCTAGGCCATGACTCCAGTATTGTTTGCTTGTCTACCATTTTGTGATCTGATGTGATTTTCCTATGTGTTGTAAATCCTACCTCTATGATATTAATGAGGCAGGATTAGAGGCAGTTATGTTAATGAGGCAGGA